GTAAATGTTAAACGAAGAATTATCTATACTAATAAAGTAGAGATATCTGTCTTTTTAGGCTGTCCACGTCACTTCTTTAGATGTGAGGCTTTCTCGCCACGTGTCGAAACGTGGAAGTCTCTGTGTATCTCACGCATTTTACTTACTTCCGTGAGTGATTATTTCATACGTGCTTTGCGTGTGTATTCTTCATTCGGACTACGTTTATCTCCTTCGTGAGATAGAGTCGGGCAGGGGAATTTGATTTCTTGATGGAATTCAGTGATTTCTTCGAGAGTCTCCACCATTCCAGAGAGCTAACCTACTACTTCCTCATTCTCCTCTTTCATGGTCTTCTTTTAATTGAAGATTTGATTTCATGGTGATTGTTAGGTTATGGTGAAAGCCACTGTTTTGGGATGAATCATGTCTAGAACTCGGGTAATTCCAAAATCTGGTGTTGAATGTGGCGAAGTTTGTGTCTAAAAGATTCAAATTTCACACCTTTAATTTGTACTTTAACAGATTACGTGGGAGAGTCCATTTCACGTTCGTTATGTGTCTCAGATCTCTTCTCTTACTGATTCTATACATACGGAAGGTGTGATTGTTGCGACTGAGCCCAAGCTATAGAAATATAAATTTGAGGTTAGGGCGTTTTACATGTTCCAGGAAGAAAGAACAAACAGAAGAGACCCATCTTCATCTGTAGAAGTGGCAACTCTGGAAGAAGCCACACAAAAAAAACCTACAAAGATGTTTAACCATGAGATTAAGCAAAGACGATATGTAATCAGATTCTTGATTATAGGTTATATGGGTTTTAATAAACCTGTAAAGATATTTCTGTTTCTTTGGTGGCTCTTATGGTGCATGTAGTTTTGAACAGAGCATGAGTTTCTTTCCTCGAGATCGAATCTTAATTTGATATGAGAAGTGAGATTTTCAGTCATTGAATACACCAGTGAGATCCTATGGTTTGTGAGTGAGTAATGGGAATATCCAAGAAGGACCTCTCCACTACGATGTTAACATCTCGATCTTTCCAATTTTACAAGGTAAGTTTGGCACCAAGATCAACAAGTTTCTTTCTTTCTTTTTCAAGTTTTATTATTCTGAGTTTAGCCAGTGAAGAGATATGATCAACTCATTTTATTTTCATTCGACTATATTTGGTTGATGATTCAAAATTTTGTTGGTTCATAGGTGGAGTTAAGAATTTTAGTGTGTTTCAGTAATTAACAAGGAAGTCAACTATGTGGTATCAAGACATGAACTTCTCTACAACCAGGGGTCGACCGTATTGTAATGATACAAGTATACCAAGTTTAGCATTTACAGTGCAAGAAGCCCTAACAAATAACCATGGGCTGTTAAATCATAATATTCCGAGAGAGGGTCCGAGCAAGCTGACGAAAACGAAAGCTGAAACCAGAATTGGAAAAAGGGTTAGTGGATTTGAAGCAGTAAGATAATAGTCACCCACGTTCTTCTTTTTTTTAATGATAAGGTATTATCTACTCTGATTGTGTTTAGTCGTTGTCATCACAAAGCTTCCCGACTTTCACTCTTATAATAATGTGTAAATCTTCTACTTCTAGAGGTATTTCTCATTCAAGCCTCTGTAATGGTCTATTGGCTGAAAACCATTGAAATCAATCCTCACACTCCTTAGTAGATCTCATCTGCTTTTTGGTGTCTCAACTCTGAAAAGCTGGTACATTTTTACATATTTACTTGATTCTCTGCATTCTTTTGCTTGGACATTTACACCGAATACTCTGTTTATTTTGTTGGTTTTGTCAGAGTCTGAAGCATCAAAGGAAATGGAAAAGGAATCACAATTACACAAAGTCATGGTATGACAGAGGTGCAGAGATCTACCAAGCTTAAAAATACAGGAAGGGGGCACGTTAAAAGTATGTATTTCTCTGATTTTGAAACCTTTGTTATATTGACAAATGGGAAATTTTTTTTTTTTTTAATTTGTTTTAGTTTCTAACTTTTTCTGTTTTTAACAAATAATGAGACTTTTATTATAGCAAGCTCACTTGAATAAACAGAAAAGAGGGCAGAGATGCAATGACTCCCATATCCAATAATCTTGATTCAACTCTTAATTTGTGGGATTTTGTTTCCTATTATCTTTTACATCCACTTCATGTTTTTATAATAATCTGACTTTACAAAAATCTACTTCTTATCTACAACGCAGGAAACTTTGAATACAATGATGTCATTTGGTCATAGCAGCTTATATCAGAAATCTAACATATATAAATGGACTCATTCTGGTACTTACAACAATGTAGAGGAGAACTTGCTTATCAAGGGTTATTACTTTTTCCTTCACATTATGTAAATTGTGTCCTTCTGCTGGTGCAGGTTTAAAATCTCTTGGAAGTTGATGTAAGATAGATTTTTCTCTAAGAAAAATGATAACGAAAAAGCTTCTATCAGGCATTAAGGATCTGCGTGAAGAGCGAGAATGATATTTGATCCCATGAAAAGGAAGGCTAAAGATGATATGTTTAAGGACAGATGTAAAAAAAAACAAAATAAGGAAATAAAGGTTGTAGGAGTTATCAACATGGCGAACGTTAACGTAGATATTTTGTAGGTTAATTCGAAACCCCTTTCTAGCATTTTCCAACTAAAGAATTTTAAGCTATGTTTTTGCTCTGATATTTTCTGCACGAGATCCTTAGAGAAATCGATACGCATAGCTTCCCAAAAGTCAGTAGCTTCATTGGCAAGAAGACGCACGGTATCCGATTTACTTATCAATATATACACGTTTTCTTTGTTTAATATCATCAGTATTTCGGGAAAATGATCATTTTATTCCTCAACTATTTGAAATTAACACATTTAATCTCCAACTATTGATTAGGAAATACAATTCCTCAAATGTATGTTGACTTGACAAAATTGGACTTTTAAGAAGTCCACGTTAAATACTTAACTGACATCGTTAGTCTAATAATAAGTCCCTTTTTAAAACTTTGCTTAATCTCAGAAGAAAAGCACAGACGAGGTCTGCTAGATTTCTCGCCGCAGAAAGTTGAGCTGGTGAAGCTCGGCGTCAGTGAGCATGGAGCAGTCGATGAGTCATGGGAACTAGGGTTGTCGCAGAAGAGCGGGGTTTAAAGATGAGACCATGGGCGAAGGACATATGCAGAGCACACGACGTAGTGGAGCGGTGGCCTGAAGAGGGGGACAAGTTCCTACGCCGCTGGCGTTACGAAGCTTTCAATTCTTCTTTTAAAAGAAAAAAAAACAACAACACACATTAAAACTGTAATCCAAAATAAATACGCTCACAAATCCAAAAATCATTTTTTTTTCTTAGCTTCAATGTAATAATCCGCTTACCATCAATCATGAAACTCGTGAGAACCCACAAACAAATCAGAAGAATAGTGTAATCATGTTATTCACCCAGATTCGCCTCAATTATCTTCTGAATATTGATTGAGTTTAAACTTTTAATTTGGGGAAGAAGATAAAAGCAAGAGGTGTTACCAAACAAATTAGACTAGCAATGTCCGTCAAGTGCTTAACGTGGACTTTTACAAGGTCCAATTTTGTTGAGTCAACATTAACTTGAGGAATTATTTTGCATAGTCAATAGTTGGGGAATAAATGTGTTAATTTTAAATTGTTGAGGAATAAAATGATCATTTTCCCTCAGTATTTCATTATATGTAAGCAAAAGACAGTGATATCAATTGCTTAGAAACTAATAAGACAGTGGTGGGGCAGGAGCTCCGATTACAGAGAATGAAGTGGAGTTTTATTAGTATATATATATAAACTCTACAATCATGGTTTGCCCCAAAAAAAAACTCTACAATCATTGTTTCGTTTTCATTCCCACACAAAAATGTTATTTCCTTTGAAACTGAAGAAAGATGAAATATTAGAAACTGCTCTCCTGTTTGGATTACAAAGTAAATTACTTCCGGATTAAGAGAATCCTCAGACACAACACCAGCTTCAGAGAGTTGCATTGGTCTCCACTTTCCTACATTTTTCCAGCTTAGTTTGAGAAATACAAAAGGAGAACCAGAACACACTAATTAACCAAATCTTAAAGATATTTTATACTTGCTGCAGAAACTCACAACTTAATAAACAAAACTAAAAAAAAAACAAACTGAGAACTGAAAATAAATTATTGAGTCATAAAATTTTTGTTTGTAAAATCAAATGATTAAGCACTTTGATATCTTTGGCCTCTGTTACTAAATAGATTATCACACAATCACTCAAAGAATATAATCACTAGGGAAACCACTGTGCCTGCTAATGGAAAGTATATTCATCTTTCACTCCCACCAATATATTGAGAAGCGATGATTCTATGACTTAGAAATTTACTGAAATAAAACCAAATCATTTGACCACACTCTGTGTCTTTCCATGGCATGTTACACCATTCGTGACGGCTCCATACATTTGAAGCTAAAACATTGTAAACAAAAACTTAATCAATGCATGTGTTTGTTTTGTGATTATCAATCCATCACCTTCGACATCGACAAAGCATGCCAAGATTGTTACTACTATAAAAGAGGATGAATTAATTTATTACCTTCATTCGAATAAGATAATCACAAAACAAACACATGCATTTACATTTTTTTTCATTTTGGAACATCAACTAAATTTATTTTAGTGCAACTATAAGCTATTTATTCTATTTTTATTAAATCGATCGATGAAAACTATTTCCAAAACTATCACTAAACACAATCAAATAGATAAAAATTAATAATTTAAAATTTAATAGAGAATAAAACATATGAGTCCGGCTCGGAGCGCCGGAATACCACTAGTATTACAATAGAGAAAAAATACATTTCTAGGAAATATATCTCATAAGATGAAATGAAATATGTTTCTCTTTCTTATTTTTATAACATGAAGTGAAGTATATTTCTCCGACTAAGGAATAACATAGTTATATATATCCTCCCTCGTATACACATAGCCATCAAAGAGGAGATGAAACAGTTTCATCTCCCCTCATTAATCTTGACTCCAAGCATAGGCTTAAAGTCGTTGTCTGCGGGCGTCACAAAGCTTGTGGAATAGGATCCAGAAGCGCCAGTGTCTTTGGTTTGAAAGGCGCTGAAAGAGGACCTTGTGGTGTCATCAAATCTCCAATCGGGTAGGTAGATTGGCTTAGAGGTCACCTCACTCACCTCAACGTCTCCTGAAAGCATGGCCACCACTCGTGACATTGATGGTCTAACCGCATGAGATGCTTGAGTGCAAAGCAGAGCAATGCCTATCATGCGCTTCACTTCTTCCGTGTTGAATTCAGTTAGCTCATGATCAATAAGTTCCACTTCACGGCTTTTCTCATGTAGATTCCATGCCCATTCAAGAAGATATCTCTTTTCACCCTCGAGACTCTCATCTGCGTTTCCCCTGCCACTCACTAGCTCAAGGACCACAATACCAAAGGCATACACATCCGTTTTCTCTGTTAGGTGTCCACGCATAGCATACTCTGGCGCAAGATACCCACTATTTGCATTGGTACAAGTACAACAAAAAAATGAGTGTTATATATATATATATATATATATAATATTTCTTCTATTTAGATTATGCACACGAATTAAGGGAACAATTAATTTTACACATTTTCTATATAAAAACACAATTACTTATACACCTAACCACATTTTAAACAATAGAAAACAAATTACATTATAAAATTACTAATTTTTGTATTGAAACCCAAAAACAACACTTATTTTGTAACGAAAAAATTTCTCTACAACGACACTTAATATGAAATGGAGGGAGTACTATATTAAAAAAAAACAGTTAAAACTTCCCAAAAGACCATAAAACGGTTTTTTGACTAGAAGAACATACAAAAATAAAAATGAACAAAAGATGTTACATTAAAAATGTAAAATACATTATACTTTTACTCTATAAAAAATATATTTCTATACATTTAAAAAAATCTTAAAAACCTTTTTCAATGCGAAACTTTTTTTTAAAAAAAAATTGCTCTTAGTTTTGTTTTTGAGTTTTTTTTTTAAATCCTAATTTTTCCACAAAAAAAGAATTAAAATTATTATTTTAAATCATAATTATTGTGATAAAAAATTTTTAGTGCTATCCAATATATTTCTCATACAAAAATGGTGTTGCCAATAACAAAAAGTTAAGGGTTCGGGAATACTACTTACACCGTCCCAGCCACTTTGGTACTAATGTGGGTTTTCTTGTCATCGTATAGCTTTGCCAGACCAAAATCAGAGACTTTAGGGACCAGATTAGAATCAAGCAAAATGTTGCTGGCCTTCACATCCCTGTGTACAATGCGAACACTCCCCTCTTCGTGGAGGTAGGCTAGTCCTCTAGCTACTCCCATACATATCTCAAAACGGGTTGGCCAATCAAGATGTAACGTCTTCTTATCACCTCCTTCATTACCACCCAAATCGAGACAAACTTTAGCTTCTGAGCAGAGAAGTAGGAGATAGACGATATATAGTCAAGTTATATGTATCTGTTCATTACCAAATAGTGCCTGATCGAGACTTCCATTGGGGAGATACTCATATACGAGCAAACGATGATCTCCTTCATAGCAACATCCGTAAAGTTTAACTAGGTTGCGGTGCATAACTGTAGAAATTGCTACAATTTCTGCCACAAAGTGTCCCTTTCCTTGTCGAGATCCAACCGACAATTGTTTTACCGCCACCTCTCGTCCATCATTCAGGTTTCCCTGTTGAATGTTTTAAAATCATATTAAAAAGGAAAGCATAACATATGTTTTTTTTTTTTTAAAGTATTTTGGTCTCATGTTACCCTATAAACAGGACCAAATCCTCCCTCTCCAAGCTTGTTTGCTGGATTGAAGTCTTGAGTGGCACTTTTAAGTTCAGAGTAAGTAAAGGTGTAAGGCTTCACGTCCATGTTCAGTATCTCTGCAACAACAACAACAATAATCCGGTTCTTAAGAAGTGAGCCAAATTTGAAAGAATAAAATTCAAGTTTGTTACCTTCATCATCTGTGTATCGGTTTCTTCTTTTTCGGATGATTAAGATAACCACTCCCGCAAAGATGCTCAAGAGTCCTAGACCAACAATGACACCAACAATGGTACCAGTCCTGTTATTTCCCCTTGATGGTGGCTTGTTAGCCACAGTTGGTATAAAATCTGAAGAACCAATATATGTAACATTTGGGTCTTTACTTGCATCAGAAGAAACAAATAATAATTGTAATAATTGTCAATTTATTTGTGTTACCTGGTTTTGCACTGACGGCAGATATTAATGGCCCATAAGCACCTTGAATAGGAATACAACATGTTCCTTTTCCAGCCCAGAAAAGATGAATTTCTAGGTAATTTTCAGATATATTTGCTTTATATTCTCTTTCAACTGCTCGGACGATAGAGTCATTAGCTGTTCTGCGTACATCAAAATCCTTTTCAACAAGTATTCCCTGGAAAAAAACAGAGCAGAAAGGTTATATGTTACACCACCAAGAAAGCAGAAAAGCTGGATCAAGTAGTATAGTGCAGACCTGGACATAAATGTTAAAACGTCTTCTACCTAAACCTCTCCAAGAGTTCGAAGAAGAACCAATAATTTGTATTTCAGCAAACTGAAGTGTTACGGTGTAGCCTCCATTTTCGAGGCCCAACCCATAATACCTTAGGGAAGATGCAGAAAGTCTTGCTGACTGGAAAAGCTCAGAGTCCAAAGTGTTGGTAAATTGTGATAGTGAAGTCGCTGTGTACATATTATTACTACTACCCCCAAAAATGCCTACACTGCTGGCTGCCCATCTCTGTGCATTACTCACGACGAATGAAGCTGGTCCAAGATCCCCGTCCTCTCTCTCAAATACTGCCCCGCTGACAGACCGTATTTGTGGGCCTCCGCAGTTGATAGCAAAGTCAGAATCTAAAGACCAGTCAATAGAAGAACATTTATGATTATCTTTTTCCATCTATAGCACATGTCTAACAATATGACTATTAGAATATCTCTTTGTTACACACTTACATCTTCCTTTGCCTCGATTGCAAGGGAATTTTTTCTGCAGGCAGTTCAGTCCTGGTAAAACCCTTTTAACGAAATGAAAAAAGATAAATATAATATTGGAATTTCACGCATCCACAAGAACATATATTATACTTAACAAACTCACCTGTTGTCAAGACTTTCTAAGGTGAAGTTGTTGGCAACAAGATTGCTGCACAAATGACATATAGGTTTGTTATGATTCTAATAAATATTTCCGACAAAAAGGAAGCTCCATAATGAATATACACTAGGATTGCTGCACAAATAACATATAGGTTTGTTATGATTCTAATAAATATTTCCTACAAAAGGAAGTTCCATAATGAATATACACTAGGAAATTTTGTTCACAAGTGTAGAAGGTTTAGTGTTTTCTTTACTTACAGTTTCAAGTTTGGTAAGTTGACCCACGAAGGAAGACTTCCAGACAAATCATTGTAAGACACATCTCTGAAAGTATATAGATGTTAATTATCTATTCCAAAACAGTTTCCTGATTATATATTGTACACAACTTGAGTCTATATCAGCACTTTGTGGCTTTAATTTTTTTTTTCCGGTCAAACGCACTTTGTGGCTTTCAAAGATCATCAAATATAAAGGAATTGGTTACTCACATATTGCTCAGAGTCTGGCTCTTTTGAGTGGGAAAGGAACCATTCAACGTGTTATTCCCCAGAAACCTAATAAAAAGAGTGAAGACATTTTTTTTTTTGACAATTATCATCTCTAAATCACTGGAAAACAGGGCATAAAAACATATATATCTTACAAGTAAGTAAGTTGACTTAAGTTGAAAAGTGAAGTCGGAATTGGTCCATGTAGTTTGTTGAAGCTTAAATCACTGGAAAATAGACAAGAATCACACACTAATTGACTAGGTTGTCTTTCACTAACCAAAACACTATTTTAAAACAAAAGACTCATGAAACAGCTTTCAGGACATGTTTATGTTGTACTTACACTTGTTGGAGACTTGAGAATCCTCCAATATAAGAGGGTATTGTCCCAGTGAGATTGCTGTTCCTCAATACTCTGCGAAATATGTTAAATACAGACTAGAGTATAATGTGATCATATGAATTGGGTTAGAAGAAGTTGAAGCGAAGTTGGCTTACAATACACTTAGAGATGTCATGTCTTTGATGAACTCAAGAGAAGAGCTGCTGTTGGATATATCACCAAGCCTCCTACGTACATTTAGAATAGTAGCTATTATATATGTGGAGGAGAGAGGGAAGGAATAAAAAAAAAAAAAAGATAGTTATAAACAAGAATGGTTTTGACTCAATGCAAACAACCCATACAGTTCTGTCAAAGAAGTCAAGTTGGAAAATGACGATGGTATCGGACCACTTAAATCAGTTCCGAGAATTCTCCTGCAACAATTGTTAAATCCCAAATTTAACTACTTGTCATATAGAAAATATAATAACAAGAGCAATGGAATAAAAATTCTGTAAAAAAATATATGAAAGCTTCTTACAAAGTAGTAAGTTTGGTCCATGTTCCTATAAAGTCTGGTATCCGACCTGTAACTCCCAGATCCATAATCCAACTGATACAACAAAATTAAGGGAATTTTTTTAATAAAAAAGGTTAAGTAGTACGTAGAAAAGTTTTACGATAAAAGCTAATTTTAAATCTATATTATAATAGTTCACTAAGCTGTCCACGTCAGCAAGTTTGTGGATCCCGCGCATTTAAATTTTAAAAGTTTATAGTTGTTTTAAGATGACTATGAACAATGAATACACTTTAGCAAAGTGGTATAAAACATCTAATTAAGTCTGCAACGCAGCTGTTATGTATTTTAGTTTTTTCGTTTGGATTATTATCATATGATCTTTTTAGTTTTAATGTTTTTATGTTTTTTTCCTCTGGACTTATTGTTTAAAGCCCAAAATAGTGGAAAAATTCTAAAGTTTGACGAACTCAAACCCAAAAACAATTAAAAATGGATCAAAAAACGAACATCCAAAAAAAAAGAAAAAAAAAGAGTCTCACGCAGCACTATCATGTCCTAATATATATTTTTACTGTTAGAACATATTTCCTAATATATATTTTCAAAAAACTATGTATGCGAAATAAAATAAAAAAATAGTTTTGTTATTTATAAAATAACTATGTAATTTCTCTTCCATTTTTAATAGTTACTATAGTTTCATTTTTATCAAACTCCGACAGATGAATTTCCACAGTCGATGACGCCGTAAAGAAAAATACCATATTATTCATGAAAAAGTCCAAACTTACAAAAAAAACATATCCAAACCTATCTATTGAAACCCAAACAACAAAGATTAGATTAAATTAAAGTTATTTTCAAATTGATAAATTGTTTAGTACAAATATAAATACTATAAATAAATATTTATATCAAGTTTTGACATCCGATATAAAAACTATTTCCAACATAAAAAAAACCAATATAGACATCTATTTTATACACTAAAAACTATATTATAATTTAGTTATTCCTATAAACCTTATTTCGCATATAAATAACATTTAACACGTTATATATACAATATTTTCACTTTGCACTATTGCTACATTCTTTCCATTTCATCATTATTTGGTATTATTAGAATAACCCACTAAACTAACAACCGAAAAAACACAAATCCCGGCCCCGCGCTTGCGCGGAGGTTATGCAGCTAGTTCAATAAATAATAAAGTTAATTACACCGTGTGCAGCTCCACAAGACTAGCAAATGATGAAGGTATTACCCCGGTGAGTCCAGAACTATCAATGTAGCTGCATTGATTAACAGATGTAATTAACTGCACAAGAATTTAAACAATAAAAATGATTTCCAAGGGAAATGAATATAGATAAAAATGCTTACATTTGTTGTAGTTGTGTGCAATTCCCAATCTCAGCTGGTATAGAGCCAGAAAAGTTATTTGAACTAATACCACTGCATGCAGAAAATGTAGTTAATAATAATAACAATTTTCATACATAAGAAAAGAAGAATAAAGGAGTAGAAGAAGAAGCTTACAGAGATTTCAATTTTGTAAGCAAACCAATTTCCTTGGGAACAGGGCCAGACAAGGCATTGATCCCAAAAGTCCTGACACAGGTGGAAGTGTGTGAGAGAAAGAAGTAGAGAGAGGAATAAGAAGGTGTCAATCAATATAAAAAAGCCTTACAGCCATTCCATTTGAACCAAATTTCCAATTGCAGGAGAAAGAGAGCCTGTAATATAATTTTGAGCCAGGTTCCTGAAAGAAAGATGCATGTACTAAGTGAATGCGTGTGTGCTATTTTTTTTTGGGGGGGGGGGTCCAAATGTGTGTTGATGATAACAATAATAAATAAATGATAAAGAAAAAGACAAGGAACAGGTAAAGTCTATATATAAGGAAAAAAAAATTAAGTCTATATATATGTACAGATTTGTGAGGTATATCAAAGTCCAGAGCTGTGGAGGTATAGGTCCTCGAACATCTATCGCATAAACCTTGCTGTGAAAAAAGCAACAACAATAACAACATGCAAGGCAAAATATTAAGTGGGGGAATGAATGCACAAAGACAACATATATAGGGGGAAAGAGAAAGAGAAAGAGAAAGAGTGGGTGAACTGTACAGTGCGGTGATGCGGCATATTGTGGAGCTGTTGAACGTGCAGTCGCATTTGATAAGAGGGTTGTAGGGTTTGTCGTCGATGGTGATGTTCTCGCCGATGGCTGCGCCTGAGCAAAGTTCTCCACTGATGTTCCACTCCCTCCTCGGCGCTTGGATCTTCCAAGCCGCGAAGACAGAGTTCAAAGCTCGCGCTGTTGTTTCATACCATGCACACCACAACGGCTCACTTTCAGTTTTACCAAACAAACAGACTAATTAGTTACAAGTGTTCAACTAACAAACAGACCTTCGTCGGGATCAGTAGTGGCTCCGGTTAGGTTTTGAGCTTGAACCAGGTGAATCGAACCGGAAATGCACAAAAGGATCCAGAAGGTGAGGTGCAGGCGACACGTGGGCATCCTCGTCGACGGAGTTTTTTTTGTGTGTGTGTGTGTATGTGTGGGGTTTTGGTTCAGAAACACAAACAACAATGGTGGTCTCTCTTTACTTTTCACAAAAAAGCTTCCTTAAATTCTGTCTAGCCATGATTATCCTCCATTGACTTATATAACATTTTATTCATTGACTTGTATATGTGGTCTCTGTCTACAATTCACCAATAAACCCATGATAACAGTGCATGAGAGATTTTCACAAAGAAAAAAAATAACAATGCATGAGAGACTAATTACAACTCTGTATTATTGATCGGGTGGTGGACCAGGACCACCGTGTGTTTTGCTCTCCTCTGTCACTGTGCATCGTACACTACACTCTCACTGGTCACATAATTTTTATTAGTTTTGTGTTGATTGTGTTGTCCTTTTTCGTTCGTTCCTTCGTCCCTCTTTCCTCCATCCAGGTATTTCTGGTCTATAGTAAATTCGTAATGTCCGTGTTCTTGATATTAATTACTTCATGACAAGATGAATAGAAATAGTACCATCAATAATGACTACTTGACTTGTGAATATGCAAAAGTCTTTGTGTGCAAGTAAAGACTTTTGACAACCTTTTTTGTTTTTGTTTTTAGATTAACACGCGACCTATTGTGTTATGTGTCGTCATTGTCGCGCAGACAACGGAACTAGGGCCATGTTCTTCAACTTGAACCTCTAAAACATGATATGAGTATAGTCTTCACTCATGGAATCACTTTGTCCATGCAATCTGGGAACACAACATCATGCACAGTCTTACTCTTCTTTTCGTAGCTAGCATCAACTTCACTCCGCTACAAATTTCTCTCAACAGATTTGAGGAAAACTGAAAGAGCTAAATATTATTATTGAATCAAAGTAATATTATATGTTTCTCTAACCAGAGAAGAAAATAGTGATCCCAACACAACACATCTCTATACCCACTATGTAGTGATAAAAGGGTTTTTGTCATCTTCCCTGATTGATCTTCACTCCAAGCATCGGCTTAGAGTCGGTGCTTCCCGGTGATATCTCGGAGCCAGGCGCCACAAAGCTCGTGGACAAGGAATCAGAAGCCCACGTCTCTTTGATTTGAAATCCGCTTAGAGAAGAGCTTGTGGTGTCGTCAAATCTCCAGTCGGTTAGGTAGCCTGGCTTAGAGGTGACATCACTCACCTCAACGTCTCCTGAAAGCATGGCCACCACTCGTGACATTGGTGGTCTCAAGGCATGTGATGTCTGCGTGCACAGCAGAGCAATGCCTATCATGCGCTTCACTTCTTCCATGTCGAATTCAGTTAGCTCACGATCAATAAGTTCCACTTCGCGACTTTTCTCGTGTAGATTCCATGCCTGTACACAACTTAACTTTTGCTAAAGAGCACAACACATATTCCCTACGTTGATTACAGATAAGTGTTGAAATAGATCAATCAAATTATAACCAAGCAAGAACGTACCCATTCAAGAAGATATCTTTTTTCGTCCTCCACGTTCTCATCAGAGTTTGGTCTTCCACTGACTAGCTCAAGAGCCACAACACCAAAGGCATACACATCAGTTTTCTCTGTTAGATGTCCACGCATGGCATACTCTGGCGCAAGATATCCACTGCATTGGATCAACAACATGTCTTAAAACCCCGTTGCAAAAATAAAAGTCAGGGTTGGGGAAAACTTACATTGTCCCTGCTACTCGGGTACTTATGTGAGTTTTTTTGTCATCGTATAGCTTTGCAAGCCCAAAATCAGAAACTTTTGGGACCAGATTAGAGTCAAGTAAAATGTTGCTGGCCTTCACATCCCTGTGTACAATGCGAAGCCTCGCCTCCTCGTGGAGATAGACTAGACCCCTGGCAACTCCAAGACATATCTCATAACGGGTTGACCAATCAAGATGTAAAGTCTTATCCCCTGCAAATTCAAAATCAATGACAAGTGCATAATGGGTGCTGGCAGAAGCATAGGTCGTTAAAATAATGTTTTTTGAGCGTACCGAATAGAGCCTGATCAAGACTTCCGTTAGGAAGGTATTCATATACGAGCAAACGATGATCTCCTTCATAGCAGCACCCATACAGTTTTACTAGGTTGCGATGTTGAACTGCCGAAATCGCTACAATTTCTGCAACAAATTGTCCCTTCCCTTGCCGGGATCCCACCGACAACAGCTTCACTGCTACTTCTCTTCCATCATTGAGTTTTCCCTGTTGAAGGTGTTATTTGGAACAAAACATATTAAAAGGTAACATTTATTGTGATTTCCTCGCATCTCCAAGTAAATGGGACATACTTTATAAACAGGCCCAAATCCTCCCTCCCCAAGCTTGTTAGAGGGATCGAAATCTTGAGTTGCACTCTTCAGTTCCGAGTAAGTAAAGGTGTAAGGCTTTACGTCCATACTAAGAAGCTCTGAAAGAAGAAAAAAAGGGCCAGTTCTTAAAATGAACCAATTTGAAAGAAGATATTCAAGTTTAATATAAGAGCAGAGGAACCAAATTATTTAGTTCAAGGGCTTTGTTTGTGTTCTTGTTACATGTATACCTTCATCATCTGTGTACCGCTTTCTTCTTTTTCGGATGATGAAGATAACCACACCTGCTAAGATACTTATAAGTCCGACGCCAACAATGACACCCACAATAGTACCAGTCATGTTCTTTCCCTTTGATGGTGGCTGATTGCCCACAGTTGGTGTAAAATCTGAATACAATACACTTATGCACTAGTGAATATATGAACAGCAATATCTAACAACGGATTTGTTATTTGTTACCTGGTTGTGCACTGACAGCGGATATTAATGGCCCATAGGCCCCTTGAATGGGAATGCAGCATGTTCCTTTTCCAGCCCAGAAAAGATGAATTTCGAGATAATTTTCTGATACATTTGCTTTGTATACTTTCTGAATTGCGAAGACAGTAGAGTCACCAGCTGTTCTGCGTATATCAAAATCCGTTTCAACAAGTCTTCCCTGAAAAACGGAGCAAGAAGATTATTACACCAACAATTTAACTTGTAAAGCAAAAAAAAAAGCTAGATCAAGCAGTGCATACCTGGACATAAATGTCAAAACGTCTTCTTCCTAAACCTCTCCAAGTGTTTGAAGTAGAACCAAGAATTTGTATTTCAGCAAACTGAAGTGTTACTGTATAGACTCCATTTTCTAGCCCCAACCCATAATACCTTAGGGAAGATGCAGAAAGTCTTGCTGACTGAAAAAGCTCAGAGTCCAACGTGTTGATAAATTGTGATTGTGAAGTAGCTATGTATATATTACTGCTACTTGCGGCAAAAAGTCCCACACTACTGGCTGCCCACCTCTGAACATCACTCACGACAAATGAAGCTGGTCCAAGTTCCTCGTCCTCCCTCTCATATACTGCTCCGCTAACAGACCGTATTGGTGGCCCTCCGCAGTTGATCGAAAAGTTAGAAACTAGACACCAATAAAAAAAAAAATCTTAAGTAAATTTTTTTTCAACAATACAATGAAGCAATGTTCATTTGGTACACTTACATATTGGTTTGCCTCGATTGCAAGGGAAGTTTTTCTGCAGACAGGTTAGTCCTGGTAAAACACTTTTAATAACAAAGAAACGAGATGATAAGTGGTCTATACTTGCATCAGTTTGCAGGAAAAAAAAAACAGAAAAGTGAAACATAATGGAATTTCACTCATCAACGAGAAAATATTTAAGAAAATTACCTCTTGTCAAGACCTTGTAAGTTGAAGTTGTTAGCAATGACGTTGCTGCAAAAATTACACACATTTTTGTTATGATTATAATACATATTTCCAAGAAATAGGAAGTTTCATGCTGGATAAGAAGAAGCTAATGAATACACACTAGGATTTCTGAGATTGAATAATACCGTGAACATAACTGCTTTACTTACAGTTTCAAGTTTGGTAAGTTAACCCATGAAGGAAGACTTCCAGACAAATCATTGTACGACACATCTCTGCAAGTATAGAAGAACAACGATTAGGATCATACGTTATATATATTCCAAAATAGTTTCCTGGGAAGTATTTATGGGTCACCAAGAGTGGAAACTTATTCAACTTGAAGAAGTGCCGACTAATAGGTGTACGAAACTTGAGTGTATATCAGGAGGAATTATTTTTAAAAAAAAACTCTCCAAAAATTAGGGTATCCGTTGCGACTTTCAAAAACGAAACAATTATAAAAGACTTTTGTTACTCACATATTGCTTAGAGTCTGGCTTTTTTGAGTGGGCAGGGAACCATTCAACGTGTTATTCCCCAGAAACCTATATAATAAGAAGAGTGAAGACATCAAAAAGAATTCAACAGCAACAATCTTAAAATCACTGGAAACAAATAACAAAAGCATATCAATCTTACAAGTGAGTAAGTCGACTTAAGTTGAAAAGTGAAGCCGGAATTTGTCCATGTAGTTTGTTGAAGCTTAAATCACTAGAAAACAGACACGAATTACACATTAGACCATTCATGTTTAGCACTGGATAAGGGAAAATAAGAAATTATCAGCAAGTTAAGATCGTTTCATATTCTCTCAGTGACTTTTACAAATAATCACTCTTTTTTCTCATAGCATTTGAAGAAACACACTAACATATGCTATACTTACACTTGTTGCAGACTTGAAATTTCTCCGATAAAAGAGGGTATTGTTCCAGTGAGATTGCTGTTCCTCAACACCCTGCGAAATATATCAGAAAAAGTTCAACATTACACTAGTCTGATCAAAGATTGGGCTAGACGAAGTTGACTCGAAGTGGTCTTACAATATACTTAGAGATCTCATGTCTTTGATGAATTCAAGAGAAGAGGTTACATTTGATAAATCACCAAGCCTCCTACATTTAGAATAAGAGAGGGAATGACAGAAAAAGAGATAGTTATAAACAAGAAATGGTTTCTGGCACCAATGGGAACAACACATACAGCTCTGTCAAAGAAGTTAAGTTGGAAAATGACGATGGTATAGGACCAGTCAAACCAGTTCCGAGAATTCTCCTGTAATAAAACATGTACCAATCGATGAATCCCAAACTTGAGAAAATAAATGAGGCCTTTTTTAATAAAGAGTACGAAAACAAAAATGAAGAGTAATGGAACAAATCCATTCTGAAAGAAGAAATGTTCTTACAAGGTAGTAAGTTTGGTCCAGTTTCCTATAAAATCCGGTATCGAACCTGTAATTTCCAGATCGGTAATACGGCTGGTACAACATTAAGAGGAAAAAAAATCAACCCAAGGCAAAACGTAAAAGACGTAGAAATCCAACTACAAGACTTAAAGGCAAATTCAATTTTTATAATTTTTTTTGCTGAAAAAAACTTACGCCTCTTCCAGCTGAACAAGATTAGCAAATGATGGAGGTATTACCCCTGTGAGTCCAGAACTTCCTATATACCTGCAGTAAATGTAAGATACTAAGTAAATGGGAAGGATTTTGTTATATAAACTGGAAGTGAATACAGAAACTAGTAGATACGGAAAAGGAGACTCACATTTTCTCTAGTTTGGTGCAGCTCCCAATCTCAGGTGGTATAGAACCAGAAAAGTTATTTGAACTAATACTACTGCATACGGAAAATAAATATGTATAAGGATATAACACAAAAAAATGATCCAGAAAGAAAACATTATTATAAAATCCAAGGAAGAAGAAAGCAAGAGCTTACAGTGATCTTAGATCAGTAAGCAAACCAATTTCCTTAGGAAGAGGGCCAGACAAGGCGTTGATCCCAAAAGTCCTATGTGAAGAGAAAGAGAAAGAGAAGGAAAGAGAGGAGTGTAGGTAAAAAAAAAGAAAAAAGAAGAAGGTTTGAAAGAAGAGAGAGGCTTACATATATTGCATACGAGTCAAATTACCAATAGCAGGAGGGAGGGAGCCTGTAAGAACATTTTGACCCAAGTTCCTGAAAGAAAGAAAGAAAGAAGAGGTCGATAATTGTGATGATCATATTTATATTATAATGAAGTGATCGAATAGGAAAAAGAAACGAAGAAAGCATATATACAGATTTGTGAGGTAGTGCAAAGTCCAGAGCTGGGGAGGTATAGGTCCTACAACTTCAATCGCATAAACCTTGCTGCATAAGCATCAATCAATCATGTGAGGAGGAGAAGGATACATAGCTCTATTTTAGTTGGAAGAGGAGAGGAGAGGAGAGGGGTGTACAGGAGTGTGATGCGGCAGATTGTGGAGTTGCCGAACGTGCAGTCGCATTTGATAAGAGGGTTGTAGGCGGGGTTGGCGTCCGTGACGCTGTCGTCGATGGCGGCGCCGGAGCAAAGTTCGCCGCTGATGTTCCAATCCCTGGGCGCCGAGATCCTCCAAGCGGCGAAGATGGAGTTCAAAGCTCGAGCTGTTTGTTTATTATTAATAGACTCTTAACAATTGTTTGTTATTAGTCCCCCCCTCTCCTTGCTTTAATCTCTATCTATCTAATTACAATTACGCTTAACTACTGCTACTAATCAAACCGTTTCTTATTTGTCAAAACTAACCAACCGGTGCAGAAAAAAATCTAAGATCCTTAACGATTATTTTGAAAGGAAGAAGAAAAAGACTGACCTTCGTCAGGGTCAGTAGTGGCTCCGGTTCTGTTTTGAGCTCGAACCAGATGAACCGAACCGGAAATACACAAAAAGAACCAAACGGTGAGGAAAAGACAGAGAGACCGCCGCCGTAGCCTGGCCATCGTCGATGTGTGTGAGAGAGAGAGAGACGGAGGTTTTATCTTAGTTTCAACGACAATAAATAAATGAAAATAAACACGAATAGGTGTTTCCTTGGACTTTAAAGAAGAAGACGAACGAAGGAGAAGAGATGCAAGCTGCTTATTAACTTGTATTAATTAATCTCAATAACCAACAACTAAGCTACTAATCCAGGATCCCCGTGTGGTGCACGCGCTCTCTCGCCTTCCGGAGATTTCAACAATCAACAATGGCGGCGAGTGCAACCGTCATCACCTTCACCTTTTGGGAGATAATGATATAAAAATGAGACCAAACGCATTCAGGAGAAAAAAAAGACACTAGTCAAAGGGACGTTTGGTCAGAGCTTTCTCGCACGTATTATTTTTACCAACTAACCACGCCTCTTTCATTTTACTGCTAATAATAACACTACACTAGTAACATTTCAAAATACCATCTTACCCAATGATATAAGTAACTCTCAAAGGTGTTTCAAGTTTGTTCAAGTCCACTTGAGACTTCCAAGGATTCTTTAGAGTTTCAGGCAATATTCAGCTCTAGCTCCTTGAACCACTTATCAAGCTCATTGCGTCTCGCTTGTTCTCTCAGATAAGTCACTACTAAAGTAGATTACGAGTATATGACCATGACTTTGGGATAGAATGTTAGGTTCTATTCCCTAATGAGTTAAGACTTTTCATCTTATTGTAAATATTGATTTTGCTTACCTTTGATTGATTTTATAAAACTATTTAAGAGTTTTTGCATAAACTCGTGAATCTTTATTTTTGGGTATTCTTTAAAAATTCAACAAACCTAAGAAAACCAAGTTAACATGCATTCTCATAATTTAACTTTGCCTTTGCATATCTATACTTCCGCTCCGTCATATAGTGATGCATTCTATTGCAGAAGCAGCAGCAGGGGATGATGATCCCAAAGGGACCATACCAACAATGGAGGGCTCTCTGCCATACTATTGCATAAGCAGGAGCAGGGGATGATGATACCTTGGCTCCAGTTGAATCCAGAGCAACACCATAATCAGCCTTTACTAGCTTTCTTAACTTAATAGCTTGGCTGTATCTTAGAAACGTAGATCTCCTCAGCTCTGCTGCCAACTATTGGGTTACTCTCTTCATCCATCAAGTAACCCAACACTGCCCTCATGGTGTATGCTTTTTCCATTTCTAGTACATTGGTGCATATCATCATCAAAGTGTGTATGGTAACAGCAAGTTTCTTGTCTCCAAGTTAAATAACAGCAACAGCAAGAATGATAGAAGCCACTGCTTGTACTAGCCACACTTTATGTTTATATACAATAATGCAACTAAATACACAATTTTCAAGTGATTGTTACTCTACAACAAATTTCTTGAATCTATCAAAAGCTTGCTTGAACATGTGAATAATTATAAGGCAAAAGAAGTACTATTATCACGTCCTCAACATCGCCCTCAGTGGATAAAAACTTAACTTACTTGAACATGGATCCAAAGATAAAAGACCTTCGTCGCCATTCCAGTTGCAGACAGGTTGTTTATTTCTGAGTTTATCTGCTTCAGTCTCGATAAATTCCAAATTATGGTGTCGTCCTTATGAGTAAGTGAGCTTTAGTCATCTGCTTGGAGACATAGCTTCCTCAATCCTTCTAATCACGATGCTAAGAGGACTACCCACTTGCAGAGCTTCAACAGCGGCCCGATGTGCTGCCTTGTGCCACTTGAGTAGATTGTAAGATTGTAGGACAGACCACCTGGCTTGATTCGACATCTGCAGTGTAATAAAAAAACATGCTTAACAATCTGTAGACTGTTGCAAGAAAAGTGGAAGCGAGTATATTAGCGTGACATCAGATGTATGATTTTCACTAGACCAGACCTGAGCCACGGATAATGGTGGTTCCAGAAGTACAGAGATGCTCCTGAAGAGATTTTCATCATTCTCCCCACCCTCAGCCTCACCATAAACTAGAGCTTCAGCTGCAATACCAGCAAAAAGAACCATGCTATACCTAATAGAAACTGAATCACCATCAGGGTGGGTTGTGAATGAGAGGGAAAGAAAAAACATTTAACTAGGTAATCACCTATCAAATGAGCTACCGCTAAGTCGTCCCTCAGCAATCTCACTCTCCATCTTTTGATCCCAGAATTGGGTTCCAGCCTGCCATGAGAATCGAATTCATTTGCATTTGAGGTGCATAGAATCACACATCATTAAAGGGTACAATGTGGAAAGGTAAGTAGTCAACCTGTCCCTGAACTCCCATTTGCATGGCAACAATGGGATCCAAAATCACACCACGGATAGGGCAGCCCATGAGGTATGCTGCACCACAGAAAATTAGCCACAAAAACGACCAAGCAAATATATATATATATATATATATATATATATATATATATATATATATATATATATATATATAAATAAAATAACGTACCAACAAGAAGATGACCAGCTTCGTGAACAACGACACGACGCTTATGAGGAGGCCAGTAGCATGAAATTTGGGCAAAGCAGGTACCACCGAGAAGAAGGGAATCCATAAACGCAAGAGCCAAAAGGGCAGCAAGGTTAGGGCGAAGATCAATGTCTTGAGAAAGAAGATAGGAGACACCACCGAGAAAAGCAGCGAGAGCAATGCTGGAGCTATCAGAGAGACCCCACTTCTTGGGTGCAAGTTTAGTCACTAAATTAAAAAAAGAAGTTTACAATGCCACAGAGAGTAATCAATCAATCAATCAATCAATCAATCAAAGGAGGTGAGGTGAAGAGACCTTCCAAGCCAGTTGCAGACTTGAGGACAGTAGGTGTGACTTCTCTTGGGCCCTCCAAAACTGAGACAATGAATGATTAAATTGATTTTGATTGATCAAAGGGAAGAAAGGATTGAGGTGGTGAGGGAGTTAGTTACCAATATTGGTGAACTTGCCGAAGTTGGGGAGTAGAGCTCTGTCCTTGAGAAACCTAAAAGCACTCCCAACAAGTCTCATATCATCTGCATTCAGACACGCATCTAACACCTCCCAATCAAGACCCCGAGGAGGAGCGGAAACAACCATGGATTCAGTCTGTTTATCGGTTTGGACGGTTTTGAGGAATCTGAGAGCCCCCGCCAGATCTTTTCTCTTGACAGCGTCTTCGTACTCCCGCCATTCCCTGAGCGCGCTGGGCCTCCTCACCAGATGCCTCCTAGAGATTGGCCGGGAAAAGGGATGAGGAGGAGAAGGCGATAGAAACAGGTTTCTGAGACACGACGGCGGTGACAAGGAGGCCATCTCAAGGGTGTCCCGGAAGGTGCAAAAGATATTTTTTGACATCACCCTCTTAAGTTGCGAGTGTGGCCCAAAATTATATAAGTCCAGCCCAATGAGAGATAGCACGTAGCCCATTTTGTTGCTCTCTCTCTCTCTCTTTTCCAATCGGTATCAGATCCGAGTTGGGAAGAAGGTTTCAAGCACTGTCCTTCAAAACTCAACCTCTAAAAAGGTTAGATCTTATTTCCGATTCGAGTGTGTTCAGTTTGATCTGTGCATCCATTGATTTTGATTTTCAACGCTTTCATGTATCTATGATATTTGGACTTGTTGACATTATATTATTATTTAATTAATGCTCTAGCTATTGTATATCGTAAGTTTCTTCTTGTGTTTGTTATAGGAGTCATGGCACCAGAAGGTACACAGCTGCTCAATCAAGTGTAAGTCCTAAGATTTGTAGTATTGATACTTGGCTGATGATTTGGCTAATTGTTATATCTGTATTTGCAGACTCGATAATGATCCCCCAACAAGAGGAAGTAAGGAATACCCTGAAGAGCTCAGGACGCCACCCGTAAGTCTGGTGGCTCTCTTCGGATGCTCAGAGCTACACTCCTCCATCACTACTCATCTCCACTCCCAGCAGCCTCCCATCAACGCTCTCGCCTTCCCCGACTTCTCCCATCTCCCTCTCCTCCTTGCTCCTCATCAAACCTCCTCCTTCACTGATCCTCTATCCGATTCCTCCCCTACCCTTCCTACTTCCGGCATCTTGAAACGCGACTGGTTGCTTAAGCATCGCACCAAGGTCCCTGCTCTTGTTGCCGCCTTCTTCCCCTCTACTCACATCTTCGGCGATCCTACTCAATGGCTACAGGTCTGCTCCAATCTTGACACCCTCAAGTACGTCCCTCCCCATCTCTTTCCTTTTTTTTTCTTTTCTATTTCACCTCAACATTAACTAACAATCTCTACATTACATTGCACAGATCCGTTATCCGTCCCAAAAACATCAAACTTGTGGTCGTTGTAGTCCAGTCTTCTCCCCATGGTTTGTTTTCTCCATTTTCATTTTGAAAAAAAAGAAAAGAATATATCCTCTTATTCTCTTCCTTTCCCGACTTTTTTTAGAGGTAATTAGCGAAGATCGTCTACTGGCATTGCGAAAGCGTGCAGAGTTAGATTCTAAGTACGTCCTCTTCCTCAACGACTCTGAACTTCCTCCCTCCCTCTCCAGGTACCCATTATCTTCTTCTCCTCTTTCTTTATCACTACCCCCTTTTAACGCTACCTAGCTACATGCTTTTTGCAGAATCGCTTCTTCCTTTTCAGAGTTGGCCCTTGCCTATTACAGAGAAGAAGCAAGGAGAATCAAAAGTCGTATCGATAAAAGAAGCTCCACTTCTCCTGATTTGATTGTTCGCTATTGTTTCAAAGTAACCCATTTTCACTTACCTCTTCAATCCTTTTTGTTTCAAAGTATATTAATGTGTAAAAAAAAGGGTTCATCCATGCTATCCTATGATTCTAGGTCGCTGTATATGCAGAGTTTCGTAGAGACTGGGGTGAGGCTTTGAAGTTCTATGAGGACGCCTACCATTCCTTGCACGAGGTTCTCTTTCTTTCCTACGCTACTGTGTGTTCTGTTTCTTGCCAACATATATGGTGTTATTAAGTTATGGAATATGTCTTCGGTTTCCACATGTTTTTAATATATATATATATTTTTGATGCAAACAGATGATCGGCACATCAACTAGGTTGCCTGCAATACAACGCTTGGTCGAGATTAAGACTATAGCTGAGCAATTGCATTTCAAGATATCAACACTTTTGTTGCACGGTGGAAAGCTCACAGAAGCGGTCATATGGTTTCATCAACATAAATCATCATATGAGAAGGTTGTTGAATCCACAGAATATATTTTTCTCCACTGGGAATGGATGAGTAGGCAGTTTCTTGTCTTTGCTGAGTTGCTGGAGACAAGCTCAGCTACTGTTCAGAGCTTTTCATCCTTAAACCAAGGAACTGCAGAGACACCTTTGACTGAATTTGAGTTTTATCCTGCCTATTATTATCAGGTCAGTCCATTTTTCTCTATGTAACTCGTACTCAGAACATGATCTACACTTGGTGCTGCATTAAGTGTTAAAATTTGGATGTGTTTACTACTTTTCCAAACAATATTATACACACCTGGATTATTCATCCATTACATTTGTTCCTCTATCTCAAAATTTCTGAACTCATTGTCTGCCTAGTACACTATACCGAAAGTATGTTATGTTCTTATCTTCTGGAAAATAACTTCTTCTCCCCGCAGTTAGCTGCTCATTACTTGCAGAATAAGAAATCTTCCCTGGAACTGTTGTTGTCAATGTCCGTAGCTGCTCAAAAAATTGATGGCAGCTCAGATTCCATTACTCCTTCGGTCTATGTGGGTCAGTTTTCTGAATTACGTGAGAAGGGAGAAGCGTTAACGCTCCACTTGTAAGTATATTCACCCCACATATGTGTAAAGAACGACTTAACAAAGCTACTACCTACTAAGGTATGATTAACTAATGTTTTTGCAGTATAACGGATGAAGAGTACATACGGTATGCAGTTTCAGAAGCAAAGCGGTTTCAGGATTCCTTTGAAATTGTTGCTTGGCTGAAGAAATCTTATGAATCGTTTACCAACCTTAAATCCCGGAGGATGGCTGCTTTTTGTGCATTTGAAATAGCCCGAGAGTACTTTGGTTTATCTGATCCCAGCAACGCAAAATTTTTTTTTGATATTGCTGCAAACTTGTACAGACAAGAAGGTTGGGTATCTTTGCTCTGGGAGGTACTGGGTTACCTAAGAGAGTGTTCGAGAAACCTTGGTGCGTTTAAAGATTTTGTAGAGTTGTCGCTTGAAATGGTTGCACTGCCTGTAACATCTTGTGACGACTTTGGGAACTTGAAAAACAAAACATATGGTCCTGGTGGTCCTGCAACTGTTTCAAGAAGAGAAAGTATACATAGAGAAGTGTTTGCTCTTATGTGTACTGAAACTGAGCTGACATCATCTACTGGAGAAAGTGGGTTCAAATTAGCCATTGATAGCCCTCTTCATCTTGAGATTGATCTCGTCAGTCCTCTAAGACCTGTTCTCCTAGCTTCGGCTGCTTTTCATGAGCAAATGGTCAAGCCTCGTGCTTTGTGCTCTATTACGTTGTCACTTCTTTCTCATCTACCTCTTCCAGTCGACATAGATCATCTAGAAGTTCAGTTCAATCAATCTACGTGCAATTTTGTCATCAGAAATTCCCAGAGTCTTCTTAGCACTATGCAAAGTGGTAGCCAAGTAGAGAATGAGCCCTCGCTGGTGCTTGTGCCAAATAATTGGTTAAGGTTGACATATGCAATCAAGCCTGGTTAGTGTGACTTCGTTAAAAGGGTGTTGTTTGTGTCTCTCACACTTGTGCATGTGACAGTGTATTCATTAGAATTAAAACATGTTACGGGCTTTTCAAATCATAGTTGCCAGTTGACAGAACTGAATCTTGAGAATTTGTATCTATATTATGGAATCAATGGGTAATCTGGAATATACTTGTTTTCCCTTTGCTCTTAGGATTTTGATTGCCTTAGTTTTCTGATATTTGTTTCTTTTTTATCTGCAGAGCAAAGCGGCAAGCTTGAGTGTCTTTCTATTCTCGCAAAACTGGGGCCTTGTTTCACGATCTGTTCAAGAGCCGAGAGTCCTGCTGCAATGGAGGATTCGCCTGTCTGGAAGCATGAGAATTCTGTGCAGTCTTTGCCAACAAAGGACCCAATTCTTGCAGTCTTTGGCCAGAAAGCTACTCAAGTTGAAGAACCTGAGCCACAGGTGGACGTCACTCTAGGGGCCTCTGGTCCTGCCCTGGTTGGAGAAGACTTTACGATGCCTATCGTGGTAACCTCAAAGGGTCATGCCGTATACAGTGGTGAATTGAAGATCAATCTAGTTGATGTTGGTGGTGGTGGTCTGTTTAGCCCAAGAGAAGCCGAACCATTCTCTTTAGAAAGCCATCATGTGGAAATCTGTGGTATTGATGGCGCAGAGGGCAATGATGAATCTGAGTCTGAAACAGGGAACATAAAGAAAATACAGCAATCTTTTGGGCTGGTTTCTGTTCCAGATCTGAAGGAAGGGGAATCATGGTCCTGCAAACTAGAAATCAGGTGGCATAGAGCCAAGCCTGTTATGCTTTTTGTGTCATTGGGTTATTTGCCACAAGGCAGTGAAGCCAATGCCCAAAAAGTTCACATACACAAGAGCTTGCAGATTGAAGGGAAGATGCCTCTTTTAATTACCAATCGGTTTATGTTGCCATATAGAAGGGATCACCTATTGCTCAATAGGATCAAGCCAGCCCCTGATTCTGAAGACATGTCGTCTCTGCCGCTGAACGAAAAAAGCGTGTTAGTTGTCAGTGCCAAAAACTGCACAGAGATAGCACTGAAACTAATGTGCATGTCGATTGAATTGGATGGTGAGCAAGGGAAAACTTCATGTTTGATTCAGCAGGGGGGTGGAGAAACCTCAGGTTCTGCTAATCTTGCGCCAGGAGAAGAGTTCAAAAAGGTTTTCACAGTCATACCAACGATGAGAACTCCAAAGCTTAGTTTGGGATCAGTACACTTGAAATGGAGGAGGCAGGGAGCTAACACAGAAGAGGCATGTGTTTCAACAACGCACAAACTCCCTGAAGTAAATGTGGATGCATCACCACTGGTCATGAGTTTGAACTGTCCTCCGTATGCAATTCTTGGAGAATCCTTCACATACGCCATTACAATCTGCAACCAGACACAGTTGCTCCAAGAAGCAAAGTTTACTCTGGCTGATGCGCAGAGTTTTGTCCTGTCTGGGTCTCACAGTAATACGGTTTTAGTCCTTCCCAAATCAGAACACGTCTTGAGTTATAAGCTAGTGCCCTTGACTTGCGGTCAACAGCAACTCCCCAAAATTACTTTGACATCAGTGCGATATTCTGCTGAGTTTCAGCCATCTACGATTGCTTCAAGTGTCTTTGTATTTCCGTCAGCGCCACAGGCCAACTCTACTGCCAAGTAGTAACTTCACGCGCGAGTTGGGTTCCGGATGTGCAGTTTCACCCATCTGCAGTTGAGTAAACTCATTCTATCAGTTTACTAATTTTCTTACCTGGGGTGTCTGCTTGTTGTCTTTTGTATTTTCTTATGTTGATAATAATTGGATGTTTTTTTTTTTTTTTGGAGAACTCTCAGACTTATTTAAAAAAAGAAAATCACAATTTTATTTAGTGAAAAACAACTACAAATGATTATGATTATAACTTAATAATGCGTCGATAAGGTTTACCAGACTGACATTGCAGGACATTATTTCATGGTACGCACCACCATTCATGAGAAACCTCCTAGTACGTCTGCTTATTTTGAGCCAATCGAGTTAATTTTTAGAATTGCAATGGTTATACAAACACACTAGTCTGAGAATGGTTTAGAGAAAATAACAGAAGAGGTTTATTGGGACAAAAGTAATGTTTAGAACAACAACAAAGTAATAAATATGAGGATTTCAAGCATTTTGCAAGCAAGGATTTAAAAGTAATGTATGTATACATGGACAGACAAGATTTACACACGCAGAGCAGAGCAGAGTAGAGTAGAGCGCACTCCCTCTCCAAGCTTGTTAACGACCTCCTCCAGGATTTCTATTCCATGACAAGTAGGACGGATCCCCAAGTCGCCTGAAACCAAAAAGTTACATATGTTTGTTATGCAGCATGACAGTCTTAAGATAGCTGGGCTGGCCGAATGCACAAGAATACAATATACGACAGTCCAACAATGAGGGTTTAGCATATAAGCGATACACGATTACCACATTTGAAGGGATCTTCTTACCTGGGTTTCACAAGGTACATGATGGTAAATGCGAGGGCCAAAAAGAAGCAGATTCCGCCAACTGCCAGGTAAGCAATGCCGAGGAAATCGTTTTTCCCACCCAGCCAGCTCGTTGTCGACAAAACAAGCTTCTTCTTCCCACTAAAACTGTAAGTGTTATAGTTGTTCTGCAGCGTAACCTGTATGGTGTCACCATTCTCAAGGTCGGTCTCTATCTTTCCGTAAAGTTTTCTAAATGTTGGCAATGCTGCAGTTCTCATCCACACGATGAGATCTTCTTGTTCACTAAGCTGAAAAGAGGAAGAAATATATGTCAGCCAGTCAAGTTGCTTAAGCATCCATCCACGTTGATACCAATGGGCAGTATTAAGTGTTTTTACCGGTATATCTGGATTTAGAGTGGCACCACCTGTGAGATTCCCCTTTTGAAAATTCTTGGGGAAGACTTTGTTCCCGAACTTGTGCTCCTTGTCGCTCTTCCACGCAATGCCTTTTTTGTTGACGGCTAGGGGTGTATTATTTCTTGATAAGGTGTATGTGTCATTAAAAAGACTCCAAGCAATGAGACCGCATGGCACAATCGGCTGCCCACCAGCATCATCCTCAGGCTTGCATGCGCTAATTTGATTCTCGAATTTGGGACTTCTCAGCTGCGAATCACTTCGGCTTTTCACATACCTGTTCATAGACACTGGTCGATTACAAAAATAATCTAAGCTATAGATAGTGGTACACTTGTACCCTCCTCTTACATATCCATAAAGAACCCACCCACACCTTCTATTATAGATCAAAAAAATTATTCAAAAGACAACCAAGATGAATGTGTGACTACATCATGACTCTTACCTTCGGTGATTCTGGTAGAAGTTCTCAAGCTGGTAGTAAACATAGATAGGCTGCTTCATACGCTTTGTCACCTAAGAATGGGGTGAAAAGAAAAAAGAAAAGTAATTAAACAACAAAAATGTGATAACTTCTTATCAAAGAGCCAAAAGAAAAAAAAAAAAAAGTGTAAGGGACTCTGACTGTTAGAGTTCGGTTACAAGCTTTAGGTGCAGCTCCTTGAATAAATGCAACTTTGTTAGTCCTAGCAGGTGCAGGAATACAGTCATTATCATAGCGATCAACGATCTCCACAACCTACTCATGAGAAACGAAACGAAACAGAAACAGGTGGGAAAGGGAAAGAGACAATTTGATTGATGAGTAGGAAAGGGACACGTACATCAAGCAAAAAGAGAGATAACTCCAAGCGGGATAAAGATGACACTGACTATCAAAAATGTCGAAATGACCTACAGAAAAAAAATAAAATAAAAGGAATAGTCAAAGATTAGAAAATGGGTTAAAAAAAAAAAGGAGGAAGCTTTTACCCAGCCAGGCGTAAGAATGGGCTTGCAAGCTGGAAGCTCCTGCTGTGTGAACTTGGAATCTGCAACAAATCATTTGCCAACAAAAATCTCACAGCTTTGCCTAACGATTGATTTTGCTCTAAAAGAATTAGAGTCGATTCAAATAGTGATATTTCCCTTGGATCGTTTCCACAAAATAAATCAAAATAAAACAGCGATCGAATTGATCTAGAAACAATTTCTAAACAACAGGTGAAAGAAAGAAAGAATCAAAACCCAAAGGAATAATACATACACTTAGGCCGCTTCGAATTTTTCCTGGTAGCGGAAGAATCTCCCGTCCCCGTGCTTGACGACGCTGTATTGGTACTCATCGCAGAGAAAGCGATGATGGATGATTCTGAATCTGACAGCGACAAATCGGGTCGGGTTCGTCGTCAACGGAAGAAGCCTTGGTACACTATTTGTGTCATAGGCCTATATTGTGGGCATTACAATGGCCTTTATCTTTTCTATTTCGTGACACTTTATTCTATCATATACTTTCATTATGAAAATAGAGCTTTTCTCCGCATGGATAATGCCTATATATATATATATATATATTATTTTTTATGTCTAATTTACAATGCGAACTATTGTTTTACTAGGTGTTTTGCCTACACCTACAGGCTTAATTATCTTTTAAAAATCATCATAATAAATAATTATTAGCATCCAAAAAATTTGACCGAAAACATTAAACTTTTCTACATAATAAAGTTATTCACAAATTAAAAAAAACTATTTTTTTTCCTTTAAAACTTTTGAAAAATCTAAAGTCTATTTCATTTGTTCTTAATTGATTAAAAAATATAGAAATCTATCTTTCCATTTGAAAAATTGAATCGATAAATATACATTCAAAAACTAATCGTACAAAAAGAATAATATTAGTTTAGATAATAATACAATATATTTGAATTTATTTTTATTAAACACGTATTTTCTTTCCTTTTTAATGATCTTTTTTATATGATTAATTCATGTTTAAGTTTTAACTATATAAAATATAAATATAAATTTAACTTAACGTGTGAGTTCAGAAAAATAACTTCACAAATATATACATATATCATTATATTATTATATTATTTTAATAAATAATTTCGTATTATATTTTTTTTTCAATTTTCTCTTTTGAATTATATAGAATTAAAAATTTTATTTTATGAATACTTATTTATGTGTTTTTTGAAAATTTTTAATTAAATATATTTTTCGGATAACAACACAATATATATAATAATTATATTTTTCTTTTAAATATATATTTAGATTATGGATAATTCTTATCATTATTATAATTTAAATAATTTATCTAATCAAATAAGTATTAAATTCGTTTTTATTTTTGGATAATTAATATATATTTTAATCATTAAGGGTATAATCGATATTAACCACTCCAACTTTTAACGTGAGAGTTTCGTTTCGAAAAATCACTTAGCAAATAATAAATTCGGCCAAAAAAAACACGAACTTTACACGAATTGCCAAAAGAAACCTGTACTCGAGCCTGGCCAAAAGAAACCTATACTTTTGTTGACTTTGTTAGTTTATCAAGAAACTTACGATTGACTCGCCATTTTAACACACCGTTAACAAGCAGTTATAACCGTGTTAAGTCGACGTTAAATGTTGGCGTTACCTAAAACGACGTCGTTTTCAAATGTGACGAAACGACGTCGTTTTACGTAATTTGAAAATAAAATACGTAGACTCTTGGATTCGAACTCAGGTTGGTTGAATCAAATGGCTAGGTATTTTGCCACTGGACTAATGGCGCTTTCAAGGGATCTACTAACACATTTAGTTTTATTTAGTAGTGATTGAATATAAAAACTCTCTAAAAAGTTAAAAACATCTTTAAAATTGCAAAAAAAAAATTGAAAAATAAAGAAATTATTTTATAAATTAAAAATTGAAATTATTTTGATCTTAATTATTTTATAAATTAAAGATCTTTATAAATTAAATTATAAGTTAAAATTCAAAATAAAATTTTATTTTTTTCTTAAAATCAAAAAACTTCCAAAAATTTCAGTTTTTGTTTTTAAATTCTAAAAAATAAAAATTCAAAGAAAATACAAAAAAATAAAGTTACAAGTATCAACTAAAAATTATAATAATATTTATTTTAAGAATTTTAATTTATTTTAATATGTAGATATATTTTATATGTGTATAATTAATTTCAATTTTTTAGCAATCGTTTTTTTAAAATGAAAATTTTGAATTTTCTTTGAATTTTTAAACTTTTTGGAATTAAAAATGAATTTTTTTTTGCAAGATTTTGATTTTTGATATTTTTGAAGAAAAATAAAATTTTATTTAATTTTAATTTAAAAATTAAATTTATCATAAAAATCTTTATTTTTTAATTTTTTTGAAATTTAAAAATATTTTTAAGTTTTTACAAAAAAATTATATTTAATTAGTACCAAATAAAAGTATATGTTTTATTAAGAACTTAGGATGTTATATGTTAAAAGGAATTATGTTTGTCAATACATCGTAAAGTCCATTAGCTCAGTGGTAAACCCCCTCCCATTAACTACGACTTCATGGGTTCGAGTTGCGAGAGATGTATTATTTTTTTAATAAGAAAGCTACCTAAAACGACGTCGTTTTATCACTTGACGTCAAGATTAACGTCGACTTAACGACGTTTAAATTATCTGTTAACTGGGTTAACGGTGTGTTAAAATGGTAAGTCAACCGTAAGTTCCTTAATAAACAAACAAAGTCAAGAAAAGTACATGTTTCTTTTGGCCAGCCAATATGTTTAAGTTTTTTTTGGCAATTTGTAGAAAGTTCGTGCTTTTTTTGGCCGAATTCCCATTTCGTATTATATTTTTTTCAATTTTCTCTTTTGAATTATATAAAAATTAAAAATTTTATTTTATGAATACTTATTTATGTGTTTTTGAATTTTTTTAATTAAATATATTTTCTGGATAACAAACAATATATATAAGAATTATCTTTTTCTTTTAAATATATATTTAGATTATGAATAATTCTTATCATTATTATTAATTTAAATAATTTATCTAATCAAATAAGTATTAAATTAGTTTTTATTTTTGGCTAATTTCTATATATTTTATTCATTAAGGGTATAATCGATATTAACCACCCCAACTTTTAAAATGAGAGCTCCGTTGCGAAAAATCACTTCGCATTAATAGTATAGATTTGTGGACTTTTTAAACTTTATTAGTTATATTATTGACCTTCTTAAATTGCTATACTTGTTTTTTGTTTGTTTGGTGTTTAGCGTTATATTAGTAATTAGTTTAACTTTTGATACTATGAATTTTGTGTGCAGTTTATGTAACCAAAATAATATCACTTGCATGCATAACTTTAGAAAGTTGAATGTGTTTATTTTCATTGTATATGAGCATTGAAAAGATTTAATTATCAAACAAAATTTAACTAATGTATAAGATCAATAGTCTTTGATAATATATGGTAGAGTATTTTGAAGAGATGATCGGTAGTTGTAATTTTTATATGAAAGGTAAACCCTGAAGATGTTGTATTATCAATCATTAATTATTATATATGAATATATGTTTTTCCATATGATGTTATAGTTAACACATACATAGTTGACAACAATTAAATTGTGATCATCAACAACTCAACACTATTACGGACTCACGGGTAAAAAAATTCTTTATTTTACCTTTTGAATTTTATATTTATTTATTTTTTAAATATTTTCAAAATTTAATCATTTACATTTTGTATATTTTGTGATGAATGTAAAACTATATACATATAAATTATTTGTGTGCTCTTTTTCAATTTTATCTATTAAATTTTAGTTTTTGTGTATACAAATATGAATTTATAATTAATTTTGTCGGTCCTGGTTGTGATTCTTGTTATTTAATGCGAGGGTGAAGATATTATACATCAATGATATCTACAACATAGGGAAACATCAAAAGTGAAAATTTTAATAGTTAAGACAACTACATATTTAACTGAATGGCATACAAAATTGTTTAGTTACTTTGGTACAACGTTAAACTCTTGATACATTTTGTAGACAATGTTCTTCAATTTTGAAGATGTAACTATATATATATTTTTAATGATTGTAACATGTGAAAGAGAAACATACAATGACCATGAGTGAAGACCAGTTTTGACAAATATATGAGAATTTCTTTTAAAGTTTTTTCTTCGCTCTTTTGTCCATGCGTGGTAATAAACCAAAATTTATAATAATATGAAAAAAAAAAATTATAAGTTGATAACTTAGTTTAATTTCTCAATTAATTTTAAATATAAATAATAGCATTATAAATTTATAATTTTTTTTTAAAGAAATATATCTAAAATATGATGGTTCCATATACCTATGTATGTATAAAATGTATAGATTTTATTATATATAAGTACCCCATGCATTTGATTTGTATTTAGTTATGTAACTATTTAAAGAAAAAAAATTTATATGCCTTCTTATCAAATTAGTTACATGTACATGTAGAAATTAAAGTAGAGGAATAATTGTTTTAAATTTTATAAAACCTAAAAACCACATTGAATATTATATATGTTATGAATTTTCAACAAATTTTTTTATTCTTTTTGCTTTGAGACTATTTGATAACATCTATATTATTAAAATTGAAGTACAATTTGATATTGTTTGGAAATAATGATAACAACATGAATGAGAATTGTTTGCAAATATAGATATGTAGATTAAGTACTTCCTTTTATTTGCACATTTAATCTATAAGAGAAGATATCATAGATTGATACTCTGTATATTTGTATTTATGAGCTTTCCATTCTAGTGTCTCCTACTCATGTATATAACCTTTGTGTCCATCTTAATAAAGATAATCCTTCATATTTCATATGGTATCAGAGCAGAGTATTTTATCAAGGAGGCGATGATGTTCTGACTGGAGATGGCTCTCCCCTTGCGATATCACACACTGGTTCCACTCTCTTCTCCTTTTCAAATCATCCTCTTAGCCTTGATAAAATACGCCGCGTACCGGAAATTCAAAAGAACTTGATATCAGTGTATAGATTATGCAATACTAATCAAGTTCCATTGAATTTTTCCCGGCTTCTTTTCATGTGAAGGACCTAAGTATGGGGGCACCTCTTCTTTAAGGCAGAACCAGGAATGAACTTTATGAATGGCCAATGAGTGCTGCACAAGCACAAGTCTTCTCAGCTTCACACAGAACCAAGACGACTCGTGATGTGTGGCATATGCGTCTAGGACATCCATCTCTACCATTACTTCAGTATATTATTACTAAAAACTCTTTGCCTGTTGCTGCTACTTCTT